CATCTGTTTTGGTAGTGATGGTAAGCAGTTCTCCCTCCATTCAGCCTCCCAACTTTCCAAGATGGTCTTCCAGTGCCTGCCACACCTGCAGAAGATCTTCACTTCCTATCATTTGTGTTACCTCCACAATGTATGGAATCATATAGCTTTTTCTTTGGTGTTGATAAATTGCACATTACACTGTATTTTCGTTAAACTTTCTGTAACTCCTGGACACGTGGCACCCAGTTCCCAAAAAATAGCAGTATTCATTCATACCAACCAGGAATACAAACACAGGCACCGAGATCACTTTCATGGAGCTCCAAAGGGCTTTAGCAGTCTAAAGAATTTTTTTTTCTTTAAAGAAGTCTCTTACACTCTTATCAGCATGCTGAACAGTGGCATACGGGGAGAGATCTGTCACATATCCCAGCACTCACCTAAATTCACCTGACCAAAGTCATCAAAATAGCAACAAATAAGTTGAGAAAAGGAAGAAAATAATCTAAACATAGAATTACAAAGATTTCTGTTTGCCATCTGTTCTGTTTCTCCAGCACGCTGCTGCACTGAGCAAAACAGACTGTCTTCCTTGCTGCCTAGGAGACTAAAAAGAAACAAAAAAACCTCTGGCTAATGAAGTTTTCTTCATTTCATAAAATCAACATCACAATCGTACCTCCACGTAAAGAGATACTGGAAGATAGGCTCGAACTCATGATTTTAAGGGCACAGAACTGCCTGTACCCAGCCAGAAATGAGCCTTTGAAGAATGCACGCACGCTGAGTCATCACTCTTCCTCCTGTCCCAGCCACCCACCACCTCAGACCACAGAAAGTCAACCCCCCTCCAGTAGTATTTCTTAAGACAAATTATTCACTTTTTCCACTCATTGCCCTGTACCTATGAACCATGAGCATAGCAAAGGTTCATAAGGCAGCAATGCTTCAACAGTTGTCCGTCCTCCTTACCCTTAGAGCTCCTCAACCTGCTAGCTAATTTCAACTCAATCTTGAGAGATGGTAGAGGTCTCAAGGTTATGACGTTCTTGCATGTTGCGTGGAAAAACTGGAGGCTGGATGGAAGAGAGAGATGCAAATTAACAATTTGCAAAAGGCAGTGGCTCACCCACTCCCAGAGGCAGGCAGGCAGCCCTTGCATTACCAGCCGGGGACCCACCGACACTTCCCACTCCCAGCCCACCATGGCAAGTCCTGTGGGTGAAGACAAGGATGACCGGGGGAATATTTATCACACGTCTGTAGAAAAACATGAGCCACCTAACTACTGATGGCTTGTCCTATGTAACCTATGATCACATAGGCTACCTGAATATAAACATCAAGAAAGGTTGTTACGGAACCTTTAACTCTACATTACTTTTGCACATACCTCAAATTTACACCGAACAGAGTTCCCACAAGGCAACATTCACATTTCCTGGTGTTCCAGAGCAATTCAGCCCCAAACAAAGCAGGTATTTCACAGAAAGTGTGATAACCAACAACCTCTCCCATATTAATTTAAATAAGGAAAATCCCACTTCCTCACATTCAAAAGAGGGAGCCCAAAACACCTGTAGTCTTAACAAAACATTCTGCAAAACCGAGTAGACAGAGGAGGGAAGGGGGTTGCTATGGCTATAAAATGGCTCAAGCTTTCACAGCATGTTGCAGGCCTAAAGGTACAAAATCAAGATACATTACCTGTAAAGCTGGTTTCAGCAATAACATTTGTATTTTCCATTCTATCAGAGGGGAGCTCAGCAGGGCAGACGTGATCGGTATCACAACACCAAGCTACAGCACCAGACTTGCTGCTTTTCTCTCCACAACTCCTTACGTACCTGTTCAGCAATGACGTTTGTATTTTCCACGCTGTTTAATTCTATCAGAGGGGAGCTCAGCAGGGCAGACGTGATCGGTATCACAACACCAAGCTACAGCACCAGACTTGCTGCTTTTCTCTCCACAACTCCTTACGTACCTGAATCTCGCATCCTGCATCAATGCCACCATTCCTATGGTGACACCTCCCTCTGACTCTCAATTTGCATTTTAATCATCCCTAAGAGCTCACCTATATTTTGCTATCACCACCTCAATTTTACATGTATTAGCCTGTGTTTTCTCTAAGAGTGCCTGAGATGTCAACAAAAATAAAGTGCAAATTAAGGGTTTGGTTGCTTTGTTTCTAGACTTAATGTTTGACTATTAAGAGCGACCCAGGGTGGGCAGATCCTCTGTAATAAGGATAAACAACCTTTCTGCTGCAGCTCTGCAGGGCAGGAAGGACAGAGCCCCATGGCAAGACAAGAAAGGCAAGACAAGATTCAAGGAATCTGTTGGGAGCACTGCTCTCGATCTCCAATGCTCCTGCAACTCCCTCAGCTAGCCTGGAGGTGCTCACAAACAGACTTCCTTGGCTGAGCATTCAGGAACATCAGGACAATTTCACGATCATCTTAAGGAGATACAGAGTGCAGGTCACAGCAAAACGGCTTGTCCCAGCTTCAGCACTACAACCAGCTGACCCACCAGAGCAGGAAACTCATTGAACTGAAAACCAGCCGAGAGAGAGAAGAAAAACAATGAAAGGATAGAATAGGGAGAGGAAAGGCAGGAGATATTTCAAGTGGATTCACTCTGTATTCTGAACACAAAAGAACAGGCAGAAAAAAAACCCAACCAGGGAAGGAGTGTCTTGGCTTAAATTAATCTTGAAGAAGTCACCTACGGCAATCTGGATATCTTGAACCAAATCAGAAGTCATTCATCTATTTCCTCTCTCTTTCTTTGCAAGGAAAAATAGTCAAAACCCACTAAAAACAATAGCCAGATGACAAGTTTGGACATTTCAAAGTCCTTAAAAAAAAAAAAAAACAAATGAAAAAGAATTTGATATAAAACACAAATGGTGCTGAAATCTCTGAAGTGAAACGGAAGCTGCCTGCCACTTCTCTGATAGCTGTTTCTTTATCATTATCAGCTGGGTTGTTTTGACAGCTTCGCTTCTAAGCTGACTGTAAATCTGTGAATATTTCACAGATGATTGAACTGGAACAATTATCAACAATATCAATCGGGTTGAAGTGTGAA